TCCTCGGGCGCCTTCCCTGCCGCCCCCAGCAGGGCCTCCGCTTCACAGCGGTTTGGGACCCCGCGGAGCGGCCCCGTCACTTGCTTTTAGGCCTGTAGCTGTGTTGGTGGCTGCTTGGTCATGACCTCTTTATGGGCAGGTGGTGTTTTACTGCACGTGCCCTGGGGTGGTGTCTGGCTGTGGTCAGCTCGTCCTTCATTTATGTGTTTATTTCCACAACGCTTAACTGCTTCCTGAGGAATAGTCTAACAGTAACTCTCATACAGCTAATTATTTGGGAACAGATAATATAGGGTAATGACAGGTGGATGTCTCAGTGGGGAGATTTGTGCATTAGCACCTGGCTGGACTTTCTCTGCTGGGAGAGCCATGGTCCTTTGGGAGAGTGAGGCCTTCCTCGTTGGAAGGAATCTGAAACTGCTAATCTGTTGTTGTTGCCCTTGTGCTATAGAGAAGGTCGGGCGTTACCAAGTTCACTCTGTGTATTGACAAAGCATGAGCCACGGTCATGCAAACACTTCCTTTCAGGACCGTGTTGGCGATTGCGGGAGAAGACTTCTCTATTGTCGCCTCTGACACGCGGCTGAGCGAAGGCTACGCGATTCACAGCCGGGACAGTCCGAAATGCTACAAACTGTAAGTCGGGGTCTTGTAAGGCCTGAGGCCATTCGAAGGTCTTGGGTATTGAAAAGAACCGGTGCTTTTATTAGGCAGACCCTTCAGAGGAAAAAAAAAAAAAGAGGAAAAAAAAAAAACCAAAACGGGATACTGAGCAACAAACTTGATTTGTCATTAAGGGGAGTCTTTTGTGATACTGTAAATGTGACTGGTTTTCTTGTTGCATACTCTTGAATCAAGCTGATGACAGAATTTTTCAGTACTGTGTCGGACTTCAGCTGTAATTCTAGCTAAGTGTCTCTTTTTGGCTGGATAATCCCAGGAAATGACATCTTATTCCATATAGTAAATAGTTCTGCTTCCTCAGGAGACCTGGTCTCGGCTCACAGATGTGCCCACACTTTCAGCACAGCAGTTGTACTCTCGTCCTCTAGTCAACCATCTGGCACTTCAAAGAGCAGTTTATTTTAGGAGAGGTAAAACTGTCAGTAGTTCCATTACTGGGCTTCTTATGTTCCTCCTGTCTAGGTAGCGTTGCCTTGGCTTAGCAATACATATTATTTACTTACTTCCAAATGCAGCTGCCATTAGCTGTGTTAGTGAACTTCTTGGTGTTGGCACAGGTTCATATGAACTCATGTTTCTCCAGGATAACTCTGTATCTTTGGCACTGAGCTACTTCGGAAATTACTGTGGTGCAATCCGTGTGCTGCACATGATAGGTGGCTTTGGGTAATGCTAGCAACAGGCTGAGAGATTTCAGTTTACATTGTTCGTAAATGACTTAGTCTTAATCCTATAAATAATGTGTGAATATTTATTCAGTCACGTGAGCTCACTTGTGTTTTATTACAATTTAAAATTCAGGTGTTCGTTCATGTAGCTTTTCCCCAATCTACAAACACTTCATGAGAGTTGACGAATCTACCATGCAGCCAGATAACCTCTCTTGTCCTGAGATGGAAAAATCGCAGGAAATGTAACATTTACATTACCATTTAAAAATACTAGTGCAGTCTTCTGGGCGGATGGAGTAAAACCGGGTTTGGGTTGTCTTGCGCAGTGGGTTCCTTGCCTTAAAACGGTTCCCCTGACAAGACTGTTTCTGACAGTGCTAGAGAAACTGAAAAAAGAAAAGATATTTTCATAATAATACCCTATGTTTAAAAGGTGTAGTTCATACTAAATCTAAATCACATTAAAACTTTACATTTTACAGGACAGAACAAACAGTCATTGGATGCAGTGGTTTCCATGGTGACTGCCTTACTCTTACTAAAATTATCGAAGCAAGATTAAAGGTAGATAAGCATCTTAATGGATTTAGAAATTGGTAATAGCATCACATCTGAAGAGTCTAATAATATGTATTTAAAAACTGATACTGTTTTTCTCAAGTGTTTGTATCATAATTATAGCTATATTGCTAATGAAGGATCAAGCAGGGGAGGTTGCTGTGTTCCTACTGAATGTAACATCACAGATTTAACTTTAAAAATGGAATAGTTAGAGGGGATTAATGTTAACTGAATGTTAATTAGACAGCATCTAATATTTATCTGAAGTTTTACAAAGACTGGCTTGCAAGAAGACTTTGTTTAGACTAGTATATTTTCAGTAATCACTTAGGTTAGCATAATATAATAATGCTTAGCATTAATATATTTTGTGGTGAGATTATAGCAAATGATTACAGCATGATTCTGATTATTTTGAGCATAAAATTTAGTGTGTGATTTTCTTCTTGGGCATTTGCAGATGTACAAGCATTCCAATAACAAGACCATGACCACTAAAGCTATTGCAGCAATGCTGTCCACAATTCTGTATTCTCGGCGCTTCTTTCCTTACTACGTTTACAACATCATCGGTGGACTCGATGAAGAAGGTAAGGGTGGAAACACCGTGGAAGAAGCTTACGTCTTGGATGTACTGATGGAGTAATGAAGTCTGCACTGCTGTTCTTAAAACTTGGCATTAGGCATTACTAGACTTGCACAGATCAAACACAGCATGCATCTAACTTGTCTAGTAGTTTTAACTTAATCTTTCATTTCTGAAGAGTCTGAAAGTAAAAACAAATATATATATATATAGAGAGAGAGAGAGAGAGAGAGACAGAGAGTAGGTGTTTGATTGCAGGTGAAATCTGTTACTATAACTTACCTTTAATATTTTTATCCAGAGAAGAAAGCTTTGTGATTGTTTTGCAGGAATTACAAAATGTCTCTTTAAAGGACCTGCTAACAGTAAAATTGTATGTATTTTATTATTTTATTCAGGTTTTTCTTTGTGTGCTACAGGCTGTTAAATATGAAGGGCTGTCTAGAGGCAAGGCTCTATAGAGAGATTTTAAAATGTCAACCAATCTCTTGGAAATCAATAGTTTCTGCTTGGACATTTTAGTTCAATGTATTGCCGTTTCAGGGCTGTTGAGTGCTCAGCTGAATTGCTAAAAGCCTTTGTTCTGACTGTCAGTAGGAGCTCACAACTGGCCCTGTTTGGATAATTTTGACCATTTTCCACAGTTTGTTGTTAACATGTCCACACAATATAGAGCCTAGAAGGTGTTTAGCCTGCCCTGCCTAGTGTTGTATCTCGGATTATGGGGCTGCTGTAACATGTGATGAGACTCAAGAGTGCAGGCCTGCCTCCATGGTCTTGTTTTGAGTCCAGCAATATTGACCAGCTCTGACTTAATGCTACTTTCTGGATCTTGGCTAGCTTTCTTGGGCTACTCAAGGACCTGTACTGTGCTGCCCAGTGTACTGGGCACTTTATTAAATCAGGGGCAGCTTTTCTAAACAAAAGGGATGAGCTTGCTGTGGTGCTGTGCATTAACTAGTACTTCCCCAT